TCAAACACATGAGGCCTGTTACGGTGCAATTATTTTCTTAGCCAAATGATAAGGTAAGAATTGCCATGGCTTCGTAGGGAGTGTGACGGCTAGGTGGTAAGATGTTTTAAGTCAGAACCTAGGGTTTTTATAATTCCCGACTATTGGATCCACATTTGTGAATATCATTGTTTGTATACATCCTGCACTGCAATATTTCTAAAGCAGTTTAAAAGTTAGTAGTTGTCTACTCTATTATCTTTCTCTGATTCTTAAAAGTTTGTTTAATGAAATTTAGATTTATTCATTATTTAATTTGTACTCATTAGCACTGATTTAGAATACACCACAAAATCCATAGTTGTATTTCTGTAAGACGAACATATACTATACATCACGTTAATGCAAATATGACAAGTGTAATACGTGTAGACAAGAGTGCCATCATGGCCATTGTGCATTCTCTGAAGTATCAGTTCACACTTCACTGCACTCAGATTTTACGAGTCAATTATCACCTGGACTGATGAAAGCTGTGTGAGTCTGTGTGTTGCTGACAGCCCCAGGCACTCTGTACACTGATTGTCCTTTAATTGACCAGCTTTCACACCCTGAGTGATGACATAATGATGAAGTCTTGTAATTCCCTCAAATTTTGATCTCTTGATGTGTGTGGGAATGTAAAAGATTTCTTCCCAACTTATGTTACTCATATTCCAAGGTGGTGTTACAGAAGGACTACTTAACTCAGCTGATAGGTTCTCATAAAGTCCTTTTCAAGACTGTGTACTCCATTGTCCTTGACTTTGCTGTATAAAGTTGGTAAGGTTAAATATGATTAGTCTTTAGGATTTGCAGGGATTTATCTCAACGTGCTCAGAAGCCGATATTCGACCTCAAGTCTGCAGCAAATTAGATAAGAATTGTAACTAAAATTTCCCAATTTATGATAATAACAGATGCTGTGACTTAGAACAGGTGAATGGTATTTCACTGACCAATTTGAGCAAAATAATGATGTTTTCCCAAATTGACTGTCAAGAACACTTGGTTTGGAATCGTGAATAAATCACTGGATTTGCTGATTTTGTGATCTGTTTGTGAAGCCATGCTAACAAGTTCTGACTGAGTGGATCACAAAAGATTATTAACATGAGGGTGAGGTGTGATTAATTCCTTGTTGTGAATGCTGTGTGATCTTTAAAACTTTGTGATATTTGTAAGAATCGTAGTATAATGAGTATATGTATGATTTAAGGTTTATGCATGGATAGAATAGGGTCAAGGTCAGGGTAATGGGGGTTTGGTTATTATTCAATAATAATCATTACCATAATCGTCTAATGGACATGATTATGACCAACTTACGAGTGTAACTGTGAGTTACTGTTGTGATTCCAATTACATTCAGTTTTTAAGAGGGGAGCGGGTGGCCCAGCCATCTGTCAGAGTTGCGCCCCTTGGGCACGCCAGAATCCCCTGATCCTGGGTTCATATCACGGTTCTCCGGATTATGTTTCTAGGTTTGTCAGCACCATAGCCGTGCTCATGGGTTTTGTGAAAGTGGTAAACGTCTGAGACCTCCATCACATGGGGCTTTCCTCCCACATTAATATGACACGCCATGATACAACTGGAATAATGTGCAAGCAGCATTAAACCCACTCTATTTTTAAGTAGTGTAGGTGTGTAACAGTTAGACTTACATTTAGTCTCTGAAATGAACATATTTTACAGATAAAAACAGTTGTTAAATTATTGTTATGAAATACAATAAAAAGGAGCCCAGAGACTCTCTTGATACTGCAGTAATCTAGACTTGCCAAATATGCTAGACTTGCATGGGCTGTAGTGGAAATATTTGTTTCTAGGTCTGTATGACAGACTAAGTAACGGTTGGTTGGTTGGTTTGTTGTTTAACGCCGCACTCAGCAATATTCCAGCTATATGACAGCGGTCTGTAAATAATCGAGTCTGGACCAGACAATCCAGTGATTGATATCATGAGCATCAATCCACGCAATTGGGATCGATGACATGCAACAACCAAGTCAGCGAGCCTGACCACCCAGTCCCGTTAGTCGCCTTTTACGACAAGCATAGTCACCTTTTACGGCAAGCAACTGAGTGACTTTAGTCACTGGTCTGAAGCCCATGTCTACTAAAATTTGGGGAGCACGGGTGGCCCAGTCGTCTAAGGCGCTGCGATTCGCACGCCAGAAACCTTCGTTTGTAGGTTCGAATCCCGGTTTGCCGAGATAATGTTTCTGGGTTTGTCAGCACCATACCCGTGCTCGTGGGTTTCACCGAAGTGGTAAACTTTCCTCCCACATTAAGCTGACACGCCACGCGTTAAACCCAACTCACTCACTCACCCACTATTAAAATTTGTTTTGGCCTATAAACTTGAACTAATACTAGTCCAGATGATAGCACTATAGCCACCAACAGAAAATAATGTCGAGAGCCAGGTTCAGGCAAGTAGAATCAAATGTTTTTGGCACAGATTGAGTTAATGTTACATTATGCAGTGTTGGTAGTTTAACGATGAAACCAGTGGAGGTATATCGCATGGGTGTAAAGTTACCAGAGTCAAAAGCCTTCAGTTGCACCGTCATCCCCGTTACTTTTTAGCCTTTTAACAGCCCTTACTGGAAGTTTGATGCACTTTCAATTATCAGCGTTAGGAATTGGCACTAGTCCTTTAGTCCTTGCCAAACTGCCCAATAGTTTAGGTACCGGTATCATGACTAGTGGAAACTTGCCTTTTTTAAGGGTTTTGCTATTTGTTATCATTATAAGGACTAATGGACTAAAAATGTTATATATGTTTTTATACAAATATTACATAGATTACGGAACTGATAATTTGTTTCCTTTCCTGAAATATTACTTATTCTCACGAGTCTTCACAGTTCACTCGTCACTTTCACCAGTTATGTGCCAAGGGGCGGTCGGGCGTTCACTCGTCACGCCGAAGACCCGGGTACAATGTGTGAAGCCCATTTCTGGTGTCCCCCGCCGTGATATTGCTGGAATATTGCTAAAAGCAGCGTAAAACCATCCTCACTCACTTACTACTTAATGTCTCTATATGTGACTAACAGGATCAGGTGGTCAGACTCACTGACTTGGTTTATGCATGTCATCTTATCCCAGCTGCTGTATCACTGGATTGTCTGGTCCAGGCTGTGTTATTTGTACAGACTGCTGTCATTGAGCTGGAATATTGCTGAATGCGGCGTTACACAACAAACAACGTATGTCACAATTACGTTTTGAAGTGATCACTCCAAGCGTTAAGCCACATCTGCAGAGTATACCAGACAACCTCGGGCAAGTCATATCTGTAGGGTAATGTTAAACACAGCTGGAACTTTATCAGAGCATAAAACTGACTAAACTGCCAACTCAACATTACAAGTTGCAGTGTACCAGTAACTCTGATCCAGTGCTTGAATCCCTTATCGATGATGATAATGTGTAGGCCAGGTCCTGTCAAGTGCTTTTACCTACACTCTGTTTCGTTCATGTTGACATTCCATACAAAAGTAAATATTGGGGTTTGATTACACATCTCTCCATGGCAGTGTATTGAATCTCAGTAATAATCTGAACAAGTGATCGTGTCTCCCTTCTGCTACTCTCCAATAGTCAATGGGTGTTCTCTCTGGGTCTCCTTTGTGCTCACGCGTGCCTTGGAGTATTGCCGAACTCAACTTGACATGGTTCAGTAGTTAATCCAATATCACAACAGGACTGTGTGTGTTGGGCTCTGTAACCATTAGCTGACTCGTGACACGGTTATGTTCTCAACCTAACATAATTGATCATGTTTTAAGGCTTCGGCCTGTAGGATACTGTTGCCAGTAAAATGTCAATCCTTGTAAGTTATGAAATACTTCTTGAAATATTCATCACACAAATTGATGAAATGTTTACATATACATGACTTGGTGCTGCTTCACATCGAGTAGGTTGTATTCTGGGGGAACAAATATTGGTCTGATTCATATTTTGTAATTGATAATTTTCATTACTTTCCCTTTGTTGAAATATTAATTTGTAACAGCAGTTGTATACATGGCCTGCACGACTGACCCAGAGGCCTAGATCTGGTGACAGGTCTGTGGAGATGACAACATCAGGACCTGGTGGTCTGGCCCGTCTAATTAATCAGTAACAATGCATTCCCTTCAATTACCATGATTACAGGAAGAATGGACTTCCACCATGCAGGCTTCCACTTTGGCCACAGGTCTAGCCTGGGTGTTGTCAAATGTATTTTGTCTGGTGTGCTCAGCTGATAAAGTTCATATAACATTACAATCTTTTGGAAAGTGACAGGTTCTGGTTCAATAGAACAATAGAATGTCTGGGGCACAGGCTGCTCATGGTATTCATACGGACGTCTTAATCCAAATACATGGCGAGACACTGAACTGTCTGTCGACCAACAAATATTGTTATTGGAAGGACAACATTAATAATGCAAGAGTCTAGTGTGGACTAATGAGTTATGTACTCTGACCAACCAGGTGGTTTAGCAGGTTTAGTGAAATACAGCATTTTGGCTCACACCAGCTTTTGTACCGTGTGGCATTTGAAGAAATGACATCCTCCTATACACAATCTCAGAAGTTAAGTTGTTCTTTGTGGTTTAGCATTGTTTTTGACTTGTGTATTTTAATCAAAATATTTCATTTGAAATCAAGATGATGAAAGAATTCTTGACTATTGTCCCTAATGATTTCCAGCACTATATAGCAGCAGTCAGGATACACTGCATACTCGTCTTTTCTGTGCCATGTATCTTATCCTTGTCCTTGTCCAGACGTCTTGGAAAATGTCAAGGAATATGTTTGGTTTGCACATATACATGCATAAACTCCCATTGAATCTCACAATGCACCACTTATCTGATATATAGACGCCACATGAATGCTTTCAGATGGCCCCTACCCCCCCCCCCCCCCCCCTCCACCTCCCCTCCCCTCTAGGAGGTTGTGTATACCCACAGGCCTGACCCCTGTATAATACATTGCTTGTGGTATTTCCACTGGAGTGATGGAGAAGAAACATGCCTTCACAGATACAGGAGCCACTTAGATACCGTTCTGTTTTTAGGCAGGGCTACACGGAGGAATCATGGGTAAGAATCGGTAAGATATTGGCTGCGTATAGTTTTTGCATCCCTGGCAGTGTGTAGCTATAATGTGTGATTCACTCCATGTTGAGGTGTGGCGCTACGAGCACACGTCTCCACATCCACAGACGTTTATTATTGTATGCAGAGTTCCTGGAAGGAACTGCCAGGTTTTTCACATGTATCATAGTGCTTGAAGTTATTGATGTTTTTGAAGATATCACCTACTTATGGAAGAGTCAGACTGAACCTTTGTTTGTTAGTTGTGAAGACAGAGATCTTGTCCTTCAGTGTGTGTTCTTATGACCAGACTGTGTGTTGTCAGCAGGATGGGTGTGTCTAAGGTGACAGAAACTGGGGAGAAAACTATGGAAGTTTGGTACTTTTGCAGGTTTTCTCCACCCAAAGTGACATCTGAAAATTGTCCATCTTCATCTAATGGCGAGATGGATCCTCACGTTTCTACCGTAGAGGACGACGTAGAGGACGACGGAGGGGGAGAGGACCACAGCCTGGATACTATCAGTCTACTCTCGGAGCAGGAGGACGACAGAGCAACTCCTGTCAGCGTGGACATCGAGGGACATGCGGAGCAGGACGTCTTTGGTAGGTTACCTCCATGTCTTAATAACACCCCTAAAATACTTGAAATTAAATTTGAATGACTGGCGGCTAGCTACCTTTACATTTATAAATGAATTGACCTGGGCTAACAAGCTGATGCCAATTTCTATTCCTGAGACTATCTATCTGATTGCATATGTTTCTGTTTGATTTGATTTTGATTTGATTTTGATTTAAATATATTCCATTTTCAAATGTTGATATTTCTTACTCAGCATGTTCATAAGAATCAATTACTTATCCCAAGCCAGCAGGCTACAAGATTTGTGGCCTAGAAAACCTGGTTCTAATAACCATAGTTTAGTGTTTTGTTAGTTTTAAAAATTAGTTTACAATGTACGAGTTAATTAAGAATTATTTTTCTTACATATCTTGACAAGGTTAAATTAAATTATTGGAACCAACCTTTTTCTTTTACATTTTGACAGAGATTATCAAAGAATTTGTTGAAAATAGCCCGTTTATTGTGTTTATTCAGTTAAGATGTGTTGTATGCTTGCTATTCAGTTTGAAAATACAGAAGTTCAAATATAGGGGGAAATTCTCAAAATACAATTTCTTTTTTGTTATTTACATTATGTGGCTTAGCAAATTCTTAAGTGATGCTATCTTTTGATTCCTCCTCTGTAATCACCACATTTCCTAGATCAGACAGGGGTAAACACATTTTGTAAGCAAGGAAATGATTTGGGTTCCCATGTACCCTAAGTCCCAACTGCAGCCGAGCCTCAGGCCTGGTCCAGAGCCTCTCATCTAAGTCGTCAGTAAGGCGAGTCCTGCGCCCGTTCATGTTTGTAAATGTGTGAGGATAAACAACAAGTTGTGAAACTGTTAATCTGAGAATGGCATCTGTGTCAATGCCAGGGTTGTTGTCACTGAAGCCGGAACAAACCCCGGAAAACCTGCAAACATCAACTGCCTCATTCTACGTGCTGGTCCAGAGGCCAGGGGACAGGGTCTCTCCAGACAGACATGCTTTTATATATTTGATTTGCTGAATGAGAAATTATTTCATGGTGATCAATTTACTTAAGTTTCTTAAGGGGGGAGAAAATGAAGCCTTCGCTCGTTTGCCCAACACTTGTGCTGTTTCTGACAAATGATTCGACAAGTGGCCTCATTATGTTGGTTGTCATCGGGTAATTGTACATGAGTGTAAGAGATGAGTCACACACAACACAGCAGTAGGAAAGTCTCTTTCAGTTTCACTCCACTAATAAACTAAACTCTGACCCTGACACCCACAATGTCCCTGTCACTTCCTGCATAGTTGCTCCTAATTAATGTTTAATCTTTGACCTCGATAGTGACACAACCTACGTTTTCTCAGACCATCTTATCTCCCTACATGTGTCCGAACCTTGCCTTGGTTGGCTGCTTCCTGTGCAGGGTCAGGTTTTGGTTTAGACTTCAGATCAGGAGAGTTGGGGTCACAGGTATTGTTCTGTGGTGATTATGTGGGAGACAAATGACATCAGAACACTTTCATGATCTTGATAGCACATTCTTCTGTATCATTACAGTCTGCGTCATTTGCCTCCAGTCTTCAACCCCGATTATGTTTCTTGGTTTGTCAGCACCATACCCGTGCTCGTGGGTTTCACCGAAGTGGTAAACAACTGAGACCTGCATTACTTCGGGCTTTCCTCCCACATTAAGCTGACACGCTGCGATATAACTGTAAAATACTGTTAAAAGCGGCGGGCGTTAAACCCAACTCACTCACACTCACTCCAGTCTTCAAGGCCCGAGTCTAGTACAATTCTGTTCAGTCTGGTACTAAAGCTCAGCTAGTAATAATCTAGTAACATCAAAATTTACAGAACATTTTGCTTTGGGCCAGTAGATTTAAACCTTTTGGCACAAACTGTCAATGCTAAATTTTTGATAAAATATTTTGCATGAAAATCAGCCAGTGTCCTAGATAATGAACTGATCTGAAACGCTGACAATGTTGCCTTCAAGTTGGTTTAAAGAGTGTTCAGTTTTACGAATTCAATGTGGATTAGCCAGTAAGTGAGAGGAAGTAGTTTCCTGTCACAGTCGACACTGTACTATCTACATCATGGTGGCCTGTAAAGTCCGGACCAGACAAACCAGTGACAGAAAGCATGATCCCTATTTTAGTCAGCTCTTATGACAAGTATGTGGTACAAGGTCGTAGACAGCTGATGTTGTACTTGAAAACACAGTTGTAGGGTTGCAACGTTGCATCGATCAATTACCCCAGAAAATAAAGTAATATATTTAGTGTTCGACAGAATGAGTTTCAAGTCTTTGCCCATACAATTAAGCTTCAGAATTAGGGTGTGTATTGATTGAAATACCTTGGCAGGAAATCTCAACTATCCCAGGACCCACGGATGTTAGGTAGATAGTCACTGGGATATACTGGGACCGGCAGCTTGACACGGGAAGATGTCAGCTGTACATTGTGTAATATCAGCTTCAGTTGATGTGACAGTGGTGTGGTGTCGTGTTACGGATATGATGATGTGATGTGACTGGTGTGGTTTGGTGTTGTGTGGTGTGGTGTGATGCGATATGATGATGTGATGTGACTGTGGTGTGGTTTGGTGTTGTGTGGTGTGGTGTGGTGTGATGCGATATGATGATGTGATGTGACTGTGACTGTGGTGTGGTTTGGTTTGGTGTTGTGTGGTGTGATGTGATGCGATACGATGATGTGATGTGACTGTGGTGTGGTGTGGCGTGATGTAATGTGATGTCATGTCATTGATGTGGGTGTGGTGTGGTGTGATGCGATGTGATGATGCGAAGAGACGTGATGTGATGCAACGGTGATTCGATTTGATGCGACCCTGATGTGATGTGATGTGGTGTGGCGTGGCGTGGCATAGCGTGGCATAGCGTGGCATGGAGACAGTGACTATTGGACAAGATTATTTTATTTCAGCAGGGTTCAAAATGTCTCCTTAAATCATGTATATAAGTCTGAGTAAAATTCAGCAAGGATTTTTGATATCCTTTTTGAATCTGTAAACCATTTTAAAAAGTCTTGCCTTGAAACAGAACAAGTACACTAGTACAGTTTGGCTAGTACGACAGGAAGATAGGGAGGTTGACATAGTGCTACTTCGGGGTAAATGTGATTGATTATGGTTAAATGGATATCAATTATGAATCAAGTTGTGAAATATTAAACATGCTCATGTCCAAAGTTGAGCCATAACATATCACCTCTAGTTTATATCTTGTTTTGACATTGGTTTCGATTACATTTACAGATTACACTTAAGTAGTGAACACTGATAGTTGTCATTAGAGAGGATTACATTTACAGATTACACTTAAGTAGTGAACACTGATAGTTGTCATTAGAGAGGATTACATTTACAGATTACACTTAAGTAGTAAACACTGATAGTTGTCATTAGAGATGATTACATTTACAGATCACTCTTAAGTAGTAAACACTGATAGTTGTCATTAGAGAGGATTACATTTACAGATTACACTTAAGTAGTAAACACTGATAGTTGTCATTAGAGAGGACTACATTTACAGATTACACTTAAGTAGTAAACACTGATAGTTGTCATTAGAGAGGATTACATTTACAGATTACTCTTAAGTAGTAAACACTGATAGTTGTCATTAGAGAGGACTACATTTACAGATTACACTTAAGTAGTAAACACTGATAGTTGTCATTAGAGAGGATTACATTTACAGATTACACTTAAGTAGTAAACACTGGTAGTTGTCATTAGAGAGGATTACATTTACAGATTACACTTAAGTAGTAAACACTGATAGTTGTCATTAGAGAGGATTACATTTACAGATCACTCTTAAGTAGTAAACACTGATAGTTGTCATTAGAGAGGATTACATTTACAGATTACACTTAAGTAGTAAACACTGATAGTTGTCATTAGAGAGGATTACATTTACAGATTACACTTAAGTAGTAAACACTGATAGTTGTCATTAGAGAGGACTACATTTACAGATTACACTTAAGTAGTAAACACTGATAGTTGTCATTAGAGAGGATTACATTTACAGATTACACTTAAGTAGTAAACACTGATAGTTGTCATTAGAGAGGACTACATTTACAGATTACACTTAAGTAGTAAACACTGATAGTTGTCATTAGAGAGGATTACATTTACAGATTACACTTAAGTAGTAAACACTGGTAGTTGTCATTAGAGAGGATTACATTTACAGATTACACTTAAGTAGTAAACACTGATAGTTGTCATTAGAGAGGATTACATTTACAGATCACTCTTAAGTAGTAAACACTGATAGTTGTCATTAAAGAGGATTACATTTACAGATTACACTTAAGTAGTAAACACTGATAGTTGTCATTAGAGAGGATTACATTTACAGATTACACTTAAGTAGTAAACACTGATAGTTGTCATTAGAGAGGATTACATTTACAGATTACTCTTAAGTAGTAAACACTGATAGTTGTCATTAGAGAGGATTACATTTACAGATTACACTTAAGTAGTAAACACTGATAGTTGTCATTAGAGAGGATTACATTTACAGATTACACTTAAGTAGTAAACACTGATAGTTGTCATTAGAGAGGATTACATTTACAGATTACACTTAAGTAGTAAACACTGATAGTTGTCATTAGAGAGGACTACATTTACAGATTACACTTAAGTAGTAAACACTGATAGTTGTCAATAGAGTGGATTACATTTACAGATTACACTTAAGTAGTAAACACTGATAGTTGTCATTAGAGAGGATTACATTTACAGATTACACTTAAGTAGTAAACACTGATAGTTGTCATTAGAGAGGACTACATTTACAGATTACACTTAAGTAGTAAACACTGATAGTTGTCAATAGAGTGGATTACATTTACAGATTACACTTAAGTAGTAAACACTGATAGTTGTCATTAGAGAGGACTACATTTACAGATTACACTTAAGTAGTAAACACTGATAGTTGTCATTAGAGTGGATTACATTTAC